AATATATGTTTTACTTTATCCTTAACCATGTACTATGTATGTATGGTCTTGATATGAACACATTGTCGTCGCACACCACAAGAGACTGTTACAATGTGTTCAACACATACGCTGAATGCTCGCTTGCTCACTGCACACGCTGGTACCCCTTGTCCAACCGTTGAACCGTCAATACAACGCCAACCCCCAGCACCAAGCCCGCTCCGACGTAACCCGCTACATCCCATCCCTTGGACGTAAAGTCAGACGAAGCTGGCAATGCAGCATCACGACGTGACGATGCCGTGGACACTTCATGCTCTTTTTGTGCCTTGGGTAGTGTGTTCGAGCTCAACTGCACTGCGGCTTCGTTTTGGGGATGCAACAAGGGCTCCAAGAAAGCCATCCAGTCGTCGAACGTCCAAGTGGGCTCCGCGTTGATGGGCACGTCGTTGAGAAGATACTGCGGTGTGCCAGAGATGCCTCGAGTGCATGCATGCTTCCATTCCGTGCGGGTGTCCGAGTCTCGTTCGGTACCTCCATGTCCGGTCATGCCGTCCTTCCACTGCGCATCCGTGAGAGAGGGAAACGTCGACTTTGCCAACGATTCAATCTTTGCCGTGACTTGCTTTTGGCCCATGTCTTCCGTTTGTTCGTTCCAATACCTGCACACAATGTCGCAGTGAATACGATCGCATTCGATGCACATGATCATAACAACGTCACTCACTCTTCTTGCACGTCGTAGACAGTGTCCATCCACTTGGCAAACGTATCCCGTCCCAATGCATGCGTGATCGTATGCGTCGCTTGAGCAATCGGGAACGCTTGGTGGTGGTATGGCAATGGAAATTGGTGTATACGAAGTCGGAACTGACTTGACGACAAGTTTCCAGCGAGGTGTTTCAGAGCAGGATGGGCAGCCTTGCTATCAGGACAGAGAAGGTCGACAAAGACTTCGAGCTGTACCGTCGCATCAGCCGACCCATGGCCGTACGTGAAGCCGAGGGGAGCTGTTGGAATAGGAACTTGCGCGAGGACGGATGTAAGGGCGGCACACGTGGTCGCAATTGGGAGCAGCAGATGCATGATGTTCACGACGGTGCAAATTGAGGAATGCAAGGAATTGGAACGATGCGCCACCATGATGGCATCGGATTGGCTAGTTTGTAACTATTCTAGCGAATCAACGACGCGGATTTACCAGCATCAACGTTAATTTCGATCTTCCGGCTTGGATTGCGACCACGGCGCCGCTCGTCGTAACATGGCACGGAGGACATGTCGATTTCTTCCAGCGCAACATGCACGGAAAGTTTGGTGTGCGGACCTCTCCGTGTTTTGTGGGATTGTTGTTGGACATGCTCCGGCCGTGTAGCCCGTCGTCTGCCGTTTCGGCGAGATGAACCATGAATTGCCCCCAAGTTGACGATTTTCGAGGGAGCTGTCGGCGATTCTTACAACGGTCAAATACATGGAAGCGAGGGGAACGACCACCGTCTTGCGCTCTGAAGTGCAAAGGAGAAACGTATGGATGATTTCTCCTTCGACCATGGGCGATGTATCGTCGATGAACAGGAGCAAGCTCACCATGGAGGCATCCGAGGCTCTTGCCGACGACGGGATACCAACATATCAAGTGCTGCCACGATTCCAACGGGAACGTGGAGAAGTCAGCGTTTTGGCATGATAGGTTGTTCATATTTCCAGCGTCCTCGAATGTAGACCCGTTAATGTTTCGCCCACAGATGCGTCCTGACCCTTCGATTCTGGGACTTGCTCGTAAGGACGAACTGTGACTTTGAAAACTCGGTATATGTCGATGCTATGCAGATCGTCTTGAACAGAGGACACATTTGCACAAGCCATCTGGGCATCGTATCTGTACACGAGTTCGACACATACGCTGCATGATCGCTTGCTCACGGCATACGCCAGTACCCCTTGTCCAACCGTTGAACTACCGATACAACGCCAACCCCCAGCACCAAGTCCGCTCCGACGTAACCCGATCCATCCCATCCCTTGGACGTAACGTCAGGCGAAGGAGGCAATGCACCGTCGCGACGTGATGTGACGATGCCGTGGACATTTCATGTTCATAGAGTTCTCTAGGTGGTTAATTGGTGAGGTCGAGCTCAACTACGCTGCGGCTTCGTTTTGGGGATGCAACAAGGGCTCCAAGAAAGCCATCCAGTCGTCGAACGTCCAAGTGGGCTCCGCGTTGATGAGCACGTCGTTGAGAAGATACTGCGGCGTGCCAGAGATGCCTCGAGTGCATGCATGCTTCCATTCCGTGCGGGTGTCCGAGTCTCGTTCGGTACCCCCATGTCCGGTCATGCCGTCCTTCCACTGCGCATCCGTGAGAGATGGAAACGTCGACTTCGCCAACGCTTCAATCTTTGCCGTGACTTGCTTTTGGCCCATGTCTTCCGTTTG